TTTGGCGGGCCCGGGCTGGATTTGAACCCGCCACCTTGGGTGTACATGGCTGGCGCCTTAGCCACTTGAGCCACAGGCGCTGAGCCTATGATTTACTTTCTTTATAACATCTGTCACCACCTGAAATGTATCCACCTACTGTTTTATTTTTTGTCTCACTTAATAGAATGTAAGCTCCTAAAGACAGGGAACTATAGTTTAGTGGTACATAGTCAGTTCCATCTCCAGTACCTGGAACAGCTTAATAGACAGTAAGTATTGGTGGTGGAAGGAGAGGGAGGAATGAAGAAAAGGGCTGGAGAAATACAGGGAGAGGGAAGCTAATTAGATGTGACGATATTTCTGTTTTCTTCAAAGCAAGTCCATCTATCTAACCACCTCAGCTTTATCTAAAGTTTTGGAAGTATCTGTTATCTATTTATTGAAAAAATATCAAAATTTGACAAAAGTGATAGAAGTCAAGTCTTTAAAGATCTGACAAATGAGGAGACTTGAACATCTATGAGGTATTCAAGTCCCTCAGTGTCAAGTGAGTGGCAGCTGTGGTGTGGGTCATCAGAGTAGCTGCAGAAGTTACTGTTAGATGCTATCTAGGCCACACTAACCTCACAACCACTTTTTTTTTTTTTTAAAGAGATGATGTCTCACTATGTTGTCCAGCTAGAGTGCAGAGATTACTGATGGGCACGATCACTGCATATCGCAGTCTATAGGGAACTCCTGGTTTTAAGCAGTCCTCCTGCTTTCGCCCCCAGTGTAGCTGGGACTACAGGTGCGCTGACCAAGCCCAGTTACAATCACCTTTTAAGGAAGGTGTTTTTGTCTTTAAGGAAAAGCAGCTTAAAGGTTGAAGTGAACTTGCCTAAAGTTACACAGCTACTGAGTGCAGAGCTGACGTTAAAATTAGGTCTACCAAGCCTCAAAGCTGAGCCTCTCTCCAGCCCTCTCCCAGGACAGTCAGGAATCTGTGTTTGCCCTAGGAATGTGTTATAGGACTTCTCAGTTGCAGATTTATTTGTTGGTTACCCAGTACTGCTGAATTATGGGAGCAGGAAGTTATCAGTCAGGAATCATAAATAACTGCTAAATATGTTCATTCTTAACCTACACCAAGTCAGCTAAACCACTTGGACAAGAGGTTCTTCCCTAACCTCTCTGTGAGGGAACAGGAGAGGCCAAACACTGATAAAAGGGATTACATTTATAAATGATCTTAGAAATGTTGAATAATCATGGCATCCAATGGGGCGGACCACCACCTATCTAAGTTGGACTAGTTAATATATAAAAAGACATAAATAACACAGCAAGGACAAACGAGCCACTTCTAGCTACTAGAATCTTGGTTTCCATACACAGCGAGGCTGAAGTGATTATTTACAGTTTCATTTTCTCCACCTCCCATTCCATGTTTCCTTTGCCCCCTGAGTGTTTAGTAATACCCTTACCAACTGCTACAGAAAAATGCTGCCCACCACAGCCATTTAACCCTTTAATTTCTTGGTACTCTTAGATAATTTTTTCTAGGTGGGCCTTAGCTCCTCAGATTGATCACAACCCTTGAATCTGGACAAAACTGGGTATCTTTCACATTGCCCACACACTTGGTCTCTCTCTACTGAATCAGCTACTCTCCCTTTCCTTCCTTCACTCTAGGAAGCCTTTTTGGATTAAAAAAACCTACTCATCAACACTCCTTTTACCAGAATTGGGGAGGAGGTGGTCAGAGTAAATGCAATAGTCTTCTATTATTCCCAGAAATACTAAGCCATGCTTATACTCATGATTTTAATGACTCCTGAATTTCACCTTGAATAATCCATCATTACCCTCCCCCCACCAATAACAGAAACCGAAGCAGTCATTTCTGCTGGCCAATGGGTCAAAACTTACCTTTGCTTCAGGTGTTACTACTGGCTTTGGCGGGAACTGCACTTCAGTAGCTTTAAGAATAGTATTCTCTTGCAGAATGTCTTGCTGGGACTGGTTATGGCCAAAAGGCTAACATACGAAAACAAACACAAGTGGGCCTCTGGTTAAAACTAAAGAGAACACAATCCAATACCACAGGGAAGGAAAGGAAAAGATATCTTCCATTAAGAATTGCTAGAAGGAATTCTGGAAATGATCTGCCCTAATTCTCTGGTTTTTAAGGATTAAAGGGGTAAGAAAGCAGAGCTTAAGGAACTTGCTCACAGTCTAACTTCCAGGTCAAGGCAGAGCTGGGACCAGAAGCAGCATCTCCCACATCATAATACTCTGCTTTATTCACAGCAAAGAAAAAAGGAAGCTTTAGAGCAGGAACCAGCAACCTTTTTTTGGCTCTGAGTGATATCTGTGGGCAAGCAATACATATATGTGCTACTGGCCAACCCAAGACACAGATTAAAAAAGAAAAAGATGAAAAAGTAAATAAAAGAGTAGAGGGATAAGGAGAAAGAGAGAACAAAACAGAGTTGGGGCTACTTAGTGGCTTCATCTGTGACCTAAGTCGCCATTTTCTAATAAACTCTTAAAACAAGTTCAAGCGTACTGTCACCTCTACACTGTTCCTAATGACAGATCTCAAATAATTCTTTCTAGATAATTGTTACCACCATTATCAGCAACAATGCAAGAATGTCCCAAAATATAAACAATAATTAAGCTCCACTAATTCTGAATAGCCTCCTTGTCCTAGAGAGGTAAGATAAATACAGACAGACCAATCAGAAGTTAAAGAAGCAGCTGTAACCTGAATTAAGAGCTTGGTCTGGGGAATGTGATCAAAATATTAAGAAGAGATGCAAAGGCTCGGCGCCTATAGCTCAACCGGCTAAGGCGCCAGCCACGTACACCTAAGGTGGCGGGTTCGAATCCTCAGCCTGGACCCGCCAAACAACAATGATGGCTGCAACCAAAAAATAGCCGGGCGTTGTGGCGGGCGCCTGTGG